GTAGTCTCCATCTTTTTTTGACATTTTTGGTGTTATTACAGCAGCTTCTTGATGCCCTCCGCGTATAGAAGCTTTCGCTTTAACTCTGAAACCAGTCATTGACAGCTATCTGTGCCTCTGAATCGGTTGAAAATCGCTTCCATCATGGAAGTTTTTCCGCTCGGGAACAAATGAAATTCACATGAAGCTAAAGTAAGAGAGTTTAAAGGATTGGGGGAAAATTTCTCCACGCAAAGCAACTGATTTGGAAGTGCAGATCGCTGTCAATAATTGGTTTTGGAGTCAAGGCGAAAGCTTCTACGCGGAAGGCATCAAGAAGCTGCTGTAATGAGACCAGAACTGTCAAAAAGGATGTGGAGACTACGTCAAAAAGTAAGGTAAGGCCTTCTCAATGAAAACTTTAAAATTCCTTGTTGATGTGATGTATAGAGGCGATAACCCGAGTCTTCAATAATCGACTCTCCGTGTATCCTGACCCCGGAGGTGGGCACGCGGCGACAGGAGGTTGTCTCAGTAAGATTAAGTTTACTCGCAAATCCTTGGACGGATTTTCAAAAACTTGAGCTTGTTTTAAAGCTTAGAGTATGTCTGATGTGTGCTTTTTAACCGATTTGATTTATCTCGTTTCGCTCGGAAGATACAAGGTAGGGAACCTTCCTTTTTGGATGACCCTCGTATCTAATGGCGTAAGATCGATATCTCCCGCTGCCTTCGTCGCGCTCCCATTCTCGCAATTTTCACGTTAAGTGTACATATGTCAGAGCCGGATTTAGGGGAGGGGGGGGGGGCAAGGAAAAACTAAGTACTGGGCAGCGGCGGGGCCCTGACTTCCATTTTGAATTGATTCCATCTCTGGGGGAGTCATCTCAATCCCTCTGAAAATCATGGGCAACTTCAAGGCGGCAAATTTGCCGCTTAATAAGAAATTATTTCTTGACTCTCCCCGCGAAATTACATAGAATTTTATTTGTTCATGCTCCATGAAATATGAAGGGAGGGTTATCCCGTGCAGCGACTTTATTGCCTCTTATGGCTCGATTTTTAGCCTGACAGACCTTCCTTTGTCAAAACTCCATCCATTTTTGCTTGAGAAAAATTTTCAAGATGTGTACCCGAATATTTCCATTGCAATATATATACCTTTCCGTACCGGTGACCAATTGCTTGGTGGAGCGATCTTTCTCCGCTAAGGGGCGAGTGCACAAGTATGTAAGAATATATCAGTGGCATTAGAGACTTGTGAATGTCGCGATGATGTCAATACATAGAGAAAAAAAAGGAGGTGTTTGCATCTTGAGGAGTGTCTACCCCGTGTCGTCGAGGTCGGTGCAGGTACTCCAGCAAATACTCCGGAATTCGAAGTATGAAAAATTGATCATCATGTCCAATTTTTTTGCTTAAATTAACTCATATTATAAATGCAAACACTATACGTAGAATAACTTTTTTCCATAAACTCCACCATTTCCGAGAAAATCTATGATAAAAATCGTCGAACCGACCTCTGTCATCAAAAAAGTCCAAGATGCCCGAAATGCAAACACCTCCTTTTTTTCTCTATGATGTCAATGGAATCCGACATCACAATACAACTGGATTTCGAGGACATAGTAGAGAAGTTCGCGCATGCCAAAGCGAAAAAGAAAAATTTCTAGAGGTTTCAATGCCTCGGTGAAACTCAATGCCACTCAAATTTTCTCTCTCTTCTCAACTTAATCAATCCGTAAGTTTTCCGAAAACTTGAGTAGGTACATCGATGACCAAATTGCGAAACCACGAATCTCCATTTGCGATGTTCCAGACTTCCTGTGATACTTAATTCATTCTTTGAAAAAGTAGTCAACGTAATTTCTTGAAATTTTTTCCCTGTAAGCAGAATATTCTGTATGATTATGAATATCAAGCTATAAAGTTTGCTTGTTGTTTGTACGTATGAGCCGCTTTTACGGCGCGCTAGGGCGCTCTGCGACGCCTACTCTCCACAGGAATCTGTCATGGTAGAGATCCTCCGGAAGCTGGCATCTCTCCATCTCTTCACGGATGCCCTCTACCCACCATTTGGCTGGACGCCCTCTCCGTCGCCTACCTGGGGGGACCCACTCCAACACCTTCTTCGGCAACCTGGTATCAGCCATTCTCCGCACATGCCCATACCATACCAATTGCTTGGTCATGATATCGTGCAAAATCGTCCCCTCAACGCCCATTATCTCTCGGACACGTTCATTCCTGACACGTTCTCTCCTCGAGATTCCAGCCGATCTTCGCCAGAAATCCATCTCGGTCGCCTTGAGCATTTCTTGGGTCCGCTTCTTCAACTGCCACACTTCACTGCCATAGGTGATAATAGGCTTGACAACCGAGTTAAAAACCTTCTTTTTGTTGTCTTTGGAAATCCTTTGGTCCCAAAGGATCCCATTAAGCATGGCGATGGCTTTCCTTCCTTGAAGATTACGGTTTGCTTCTACAGTTAATTTAAGTTTGCTTGTTTCTCTTTGGAAAAATAAAATAGACGCGGAAATTCTGAAACATCGCGACGGAAATACGAGATTTGGCACTTTAGCATCAACATTCAATTTAATTTTTTACTATGTTCAAGTTTCGCCTTTTTTGTGCCTCAAATCCTTAAAGTCCTTGAAGAATCATTTCCTCCTCCTAAAATATTTGTTTGCAACATTTTCCTGCATATAGATGCGCATTTTCCTGACTATCGGAGAATCGGATTTCTCTTTTGCTGTGTTTTCGAAACTTACGTGCGCATCGCGTGTTTCTATAAGACATTACACAGTCCGGGAGGGGGGGGGGCGGCAAAATTTTTCGGGCACTGGGCGGCAAAAACCTAAATCCGGCTCTGACATATGTATATACCTATCTCTAGCAAATTTATTCGTCTTTCGACAGAAGTGGCGAGATTTTCGATATTTTGAACAGAAAAAAAAGTTATGAGCGAAAAATGGGAAAACCGTAAATTTTAGTCGTTTTTTCAAAATAGCGGCCGGGGGGAGGGTCGGATCTGTCAGGCAAGTCGAAATTCGGATTCTACGACCCAAAAAACATAGAGTTCGTCCATAATTGCTAGTTCGACTAAACTTTCCCGCAAACTGCCTATTTTAAGCTCTATTGCCTGGACTATAAGGTGATTTTCGGATTTAGCGGCCAAAATTACGTAGGGACTGGCACTGCGTGCTTGTCAAAGTTTCCTCTCTGTTCCTAACGTCGAGATCTCTTCCGACAAGTGCTCTTTTCCGCCCTTATAACACCATGTAGGTAAAACTCGTCCGATTTTTTTGCATCGGATGGAAGGGGATATTATTTTTTCTGAGGTATCAAAAGGAGTTATTCCCACTCAATTTTTGCTGCTGCAGCCGAAGATGACCTTCGTTTTTCCCCCAAAATCTTTGGAAAAAGCAAGAACCCAATAGAGGGGATTTTATGAGCTGAAAAAAATATTTCTCAGCTCCGAATACGATTTTCTCGGCAATGTTGCCAAGTTTACTTTAATTTCGAACCAAAATTAAAGATATTCTCAAGAAAATGCTCGGAAAACGTAATTTTCAAGACACTTCTCCCATTCTGATAGCTGAATATCACCATGGCATGATACATGATTACTATTTAAGGCAAAAATGGAATTTTCAGAGCAACATTGACAAATTGGGTACATTTATTTTATGATAAGACGCTGATGTTTTTAAGCTTTTTGCGCAGAAGTCGTACTTTTAGGGGCTGTCACCTTACAGTGTAGGCAAAATATTACCTTTGCGCCATTTTATAGCATTTTTACAATAAAATGAAGATATTTTTAAGCTGCAATTTTTAAAGATAAAACTTGATTTCGGTGGTTTTCTCTGTTCTAAGAGGCGAGAGAGTCTCACGCTATGGCATTCAGTTGACCTGTATGCCAAAGTGCCTTGAAAATTACATTTTCCGAGCATTCACTTGAGAATATCCTTAATTTTGGTACGAATTTAAAGTAAACTTGGCAACATTGCCTTTGAAATACGATTTTCTCCTTAAGAAGCTATCATTTACTATCCTATGGTAATGTTCAGGCCCATACTCGTCAAAGTTAGAGCCCATGAAGATTCGTTTTCCGCCAAAAATCTCGAAAATACCCTCATAATATATTTGAAAATAAATACAAAATTGGCAACACTGCTTCGAAAATTTCACGATGGCCTTCAGCTGCGTTTCTTTACAATCTCAGGGTAGTATTTAGCCTGTAGACCGATGTACTAGTCTGTTTAACTATGATGCACTGGATTATTAGTCCATAATTCCTTGATTTTAGCACATAATAAATGAAAAATTGGCAACATTGTACAGCCTAAACGAGGTGCCACTTCAAGTTGAAACTTTGCCTGGAAGCTTACCTTACCATAAGCTTTTATTTGAGCCTTGTCCGGTTGACCAACTTGGGTATCCAAAAAGGGGCGAAAAAACACCCTTTTTTGGCGAGGCTCTTTGGTTTCTCGTTTAGGACCCTCTGCAGATGAGAAATTAGGTAAGAAAAAAAGTTCTGCGCTCAAAATTTGCGATAGTAGCCGAAAAACGAGAGAAAGTATCCGAATTTTGACAGTTTTTTATCTATTTTGGGGATTTGGGAGGGGGGGTATCTCCTATAAGTTGTCAAGGGGCCAAATTTGGATTCTCGTTTGGGATCCTCTATAACTGAAAAATCAGGTGAGAAAAAAAGTTCCACTTTCAAAACCGCGTAGGGGCCATTTTTTTCCTCAAATGACTGGACTAACAGACACATGTAAAAGGCCTTGTGTACACCAGCTCAGTTTATGAGAATTAGTTTCAGAAACTGGGGTTCAGCGGAAAAAGTTAGGGCTGAATCATAATAGGTTCCTGAAACAAGTTAGCCGGAGGTTATGCGAACCACTTTTGTGTGGACAAGACCTTACGTGGCTCAACTTTCATTACCCTCAGCATTGACATATTTGACGATGCAGGAGCAAAGCTTACTTTGGGTGCATCAAGCAAAAAGAGTGCACTTGGAGTACAAAATACTTTTAATTAATCTTCAGCATGGTGGGTTTTGATTACGTGCTAAGTGGTTGAAATGATAATCATGCATATATCAGGGATGTATACTATGCAGTTATTTATAAGTATTATACAACTCAAGAATGAAAACTTATCCAGGAATAATAATAAAATGATACAAAATACATTTAAGAAGTGAGTGCTGTATCGAGCCTATGTGAAGGAAAAATGGCTGAACTGACAACCTGTTCGACACCAGTTGCGGTGGGTTTTTAAGGTGCATGTCTCCTAGCGAGAGGCAAGAGGCTAGGAATTGTACTTTATTTGTTTGGCAGCACAGTATTCCGATTCTTAGCATCAATGTAAAGGGATTGGATCTGAGATATTTCCTGAGTTCTTTGTAAAAACTAGACATTTTTCTGTCTTCATCTGACAATATTATCATTAAATCGAATCCAGGCTTTCTGCAATGACCTTATTTTGAAAGAAACATATTCTGTTGATAGAGGGATTGCGGCGTGTGCGGCAAGACATTGTTATATCTAAAAACTTGTTGAAATGAAGGTTAATATACCGAGATTTTACGGAATTTCTTAGAGATTTCTTTCGAGATTTTACTGAATTTCTTAGAGATTTCTTTCGAGATTTTACTGAATGTAAATGAGAGAGAGAGGATAACAAATGCCTTTGTGTTCCCAAGTTTAAAAAAATCTCCATTACATTCACACCCGAAACAGAAAAATATGGAATCACATTTTCAATGTTATTCAGAGATAAAGAAGTAAATATTTTTAAAGAGAACTCTCTTCTCCTTCCATTTCTTGAAAAATGTTTAAAATCAGAATTGGTCAGTTTTTAAAATGCCTTTTAGTTCTGCTTAAATATATGTACACAGACACTTTATCCTAAAAATTGAATGAGTTCGGAAATCTCGACACTCCATGAGGAAGTAGTAAATTTGGAGTGAATCATTGCAAAAACTTCAGAGGACAAAGGATACTTGCACGGCAGCTGTAAGTTTTACCCATTTTCTTTAGGGACCACTGTATTTAAGAGGAGTGTTCTGTTGTAGAACCAAATTATTTTTTTAATTTTCTCAAATCAATGGTTTTGCTTTGTAAGCATCTGGATTATTCCGTCTCTGTATTCAATATAAGGCTTCCATGGAGACTAAAGGGATCACGCTTGGGTACTATAAACCTGCATCCATGATCCCAGATGATGTGGCAGATAATGCTACTTAAAAAGGCATTCATTGACACAAAACAAAACTAGATTTACAAAAGAACAGTTCTATCGTAAGTTTGATATTATGGCAAAAATGTACTCTTGCGTTGTTGCTTGGCCTCCTAGATCTTTAGTTCTTACCTGAAAGAAAAAAAAAATGGGCTTGATTTTAGAATAGCAGTTGCTACAAATACAATGCACAGTTGCAAACAAGGGCCACTGGCGGCCGTGTACCTAAACTGCTTTGGGAGTTAAGTTACAAGGCCACTACCGTCAGCTGATTTCAAATGCTTGCCAGTGATTGACAAATCGATAGAATCGGAAGATACAAGCATGTCCATTCACAGAGCCAAAGTAAGTGTTCAATTCGATTACTCAAACACGATCAAACAAACATCTCGAAAATGAGTTGAAAGTGGCAAACCTGTCTATAGTAATCAAACAGACTTACATTGATTGATTCAGCGGATCGCGGAAACGATCAGCCGCTGGACCCTAGGATTTCCCATTGGCATTCCAAGGGAGCCTCAAAAAAAATGAAAGTCTGAAATGTTCCGCTCTTCAGGCGCCAAATGGATGCCACTTGGTAAAAAACATGTTTGCCAAAATTTGGGCCGATTTCAACCATTCTAAATGGTGCCAAAGGTCGATTTTACGATAAAATTCTGATATTAAGGTTTAGACCCCGATTTCGTACAAAAAACTCGAATTTACGCTGGAATCGTGCGTTTACGAGGGAAATTCCAAAGAACTCAGGTTGTGGAGGATGAAATTTTACCCAAGAAAGGCGTCTTCGTAAACGATAAAAATCAAGTTGAACTAGAAAAACTCACACTGGTATTTATTTTTTAGGTCCTCAGAATTTCTGAGGTCTTACAAAGTAGCGGTATAAAAGACTCATTTTTCACGGAATTAAGTCGAAAAAGTGTATAAACGAACTGTAGGCAAGTGCTGAGGATGCAAATGTAATCAGAACTCCCTCAGTTTAAAAAAAAAGGTCCAACTTTATTGCACAATCCTCCAAAAAGTGTACGGCTCGAAAGCAGGATCAAGCTGTAATAGTAAGGGATAAGTTCGGTTTGACCCGGAATAAATTGCGTAACAAACTTTCCCCATGTAATCATCATCACTTGGTCCTCCTGAACCACTTCCTAAAAGTGAATTATAATCTGACCCCAGAATACCCCTCAAAGCACCTAAAATTCAAAATGGCGGCCGTAATAAAGGGATCAGGGAAATCGGTATTTTAAAATGTTCATTCTGTGTCATGTGAGGTATCATTTCCTTTGTAATTTTTGTCGTGGATCACATAAATGAACTCAACAAGGCCCTCCGGTCAAAGGGGGCGTTCCAAATCAAAGATGGCGACCAAATGTGAAAGGCAGGAGGTTGTATTTTTTCAAATATTCATGTAAGGAACAAGGCAAGTGAGGTCTCTCTATTTCCATTTATTTATGGCCAAGGA